AAGAAACACCCCCACAGAATCTAGGAATTAAAGACAGTTTGGACTTTTCAAACATCTATAGTTCCATTTCTAACCATCTCCTTTGTTCAGTCTACTTCTAAACTAAGCACCCCCCCCCGGATCATTTTTATGCCTTTGACCTTGTCTGAACCAGCTCATTATTAACTGTGAAGGAGTTTGTAAGGTTAAATACCATAGGTTGTTTTTTTTTTCTCTCCTCCCAAGAAATTTACTAGTTTTCCAAATCAAATTCTTTCTCCTTGAACAACAGTCCTTTGTACACTCTTGCTGCTTGCCTGATTCTCCAGTTTCCTTGCCATTTTTATTGGAATTTAAGGGCCTCTCTTGCTTTTACACAGGGGGCCCACACATTAAGGCAACTAAGCACTTCCCCTCATTTCTCCAGGCTCACAGTCCTCCATCCACTCTGCAGTTCCTCCCTCAGACTCACGGTCCATAAGACTTGAAGGCTCAGTGCTTAAAGAAACTAATAATTGATAATAAATATCTAAAGTGCTTATAACAGTGCCTGGCACTTGGCCACCCCTAGATGACTGTTAACCGTTATTACGATGTGACAGTCACCTGTGATATTGGAATCTTAAGACCAAGGTCAAAAGGATCATGGAGAGAAACATGTGGGAGAAAGTTTGTGAGGTGTTTACCACAGGTCCTGACCCAAAGAGATGTTCGACAAATCTTAGCCATTTATGATGGCTGTTTATATACAATGATTTTCAAAGTGTATGTGATTCAAATTATTTCTTTGAAAAGTAAACATCCTACTAAGAAGAACATTTAAAGTATACAATTCTGAAATATTATTTGACATGAGAGAGAAATTCAATGTTTGCTAACCAGTAATGATTTCAGGTTTAGAAGGAATTGATGCCTTTACAAACCTTAAAAGCATAAATTTGTTAGCAAATAAATAGGCTCTTGCTAGTGAATGTCAATTCTTTTTGAATTTCCATGTGTTATCGTCTTAACTCTTTAATGCTATATCCAAAAAACGTGTCTCTTTAGAAAAGTAAACATAAAGCAGGTAGATTATGTTGCTTTCTGTTTCTAATTTAATACCAGAATATTGATACTAGATGGACTTAGTGGTAGCAATCTGGTAAGAAGACTTGAAGCAATAGTTCCATAGCACTCTAAAACAGAGAAAGTATTAATTGTTTATGCCAAAGTGGATGAGGGATGGTAGAAATTACATTGAGCTTAGAGTTTCCTTAAAACCTGGCTTGGTCCTGCTGCCGTTCTGAGAATATTTAAAATAAATGGACAATAGTTTCCAACTCTAAAACATATTATATGCAGTATACCTAGTTTACAATTACATTTATTATGCCCACTGAAACCACAAAGCCAATGTTTAATTTTACAGTTTAAAGTCACACATAGGGAAATGCTTTACAAAATAGGATATTGTTCCTCAATGAAAAATATTACAGTAAAGATCCCAAATGACTCTGTTCAAGTGCTTTACCTGAATAACAGAACTGTTGTGGAATGCGGGCTAGAAGACACAGTAACACTTTCAATAGTTGATTCAGGTTTGAGATTTGCCAAAGCTGAAGAGACATTTTAAACAAGACCCGTCTTAGCCTTCCAAGATTTTTGGTTTTGCAACTGCATTACTTTTACTGAAAAATGTCATTGCTTCTGGAAAATTGAGGGTAATACACAGCTTACGAGTACATTTTACTGCTTACAGGTAACATGGAAATCTTCAATATTTTACTCAACCTTGAAAGCATCTTTCAAGGTTTAAAAATCTCACTTTTACCTACTTAGGTTTATTACTTGAACTTACTCCCAGATTCTAATACAGAAATCAAGTATTTGTGCCACTGCTTCCATCAAATTGAACATATTTCTGCTATCTGTTTAGTTTGCTGCAATCTATTTACAAAGCATGTGCATGATTTTCTCTGACAAATACATCAAACTAAAATGTAACCAGTATTTGTCACCGCCTACATTTATGTCATGCCTGACTGTGTGATGCAAAACCACCATCCGGAGACAATCGTATATTTCTTAATCAAAAGTCTAAACTCACAAAGTCACACATAGTATCATCTTCTATTCTCAATATGCTCACAGTATGGGGTGAAGTGCTTCTAATATGTTGTGAATTGTTAAAGCAAAGACAGATATGGAAGCCAAATGTTTACTATAGACATAAAAAATAGCAAAGCATAAACAAAGTCAGGCCAAATACACACAAAATTTTGTTCGTACATAGAAACCAAACAAGTTTGTTTGAAAGGAATGCTGATGTCTTAGTAAGTGATGAAACGTGACTTAAACAAAAATATGCTACTCCAGCCTGACACTCTTCAAGTTTTGATGTCACCTTACACATCCTCGATGTACATACAGCTTATGTCACCGAGCACTGCTGATCAAAATGACCATTACATGCTATTTCCCTAACTTTGAGTATGAAGTTGTGCCCAGCCTGGACAAAAAAAAAAAACCACAAAAAACAGAAGAACAACTTGAGTTCTTTCTTGCAAATTGAAAAATCGTGTAGAATAAAATAGTAACTCAGAAATACCACATTTGACAGTTGATCACTTCAAGATGATAGCACCTCAATAAAAATTAGTTGTTCATTGGATATGCCAAAGGAAAATGGAAAAAAAATGCTTTGTTTTATTTACAAATCACAGATTTCCTCACAGCGTTAGCGTTAGAGTTGAGGTCACTCTGATGTGGCAGTGCCTTATAAGATAATGAGCCGTATTTGGTTTTTCCATTTGACCCATGGCCATCCACATGGACCAGCTGGTGATGTTATGGGGTGGGTGAGGACCACAGACAGGAGACTTACTGCTAAAGTGATAATATATTAGCGAGGGGTGGGGGTGCAATTAACTGGGTTAACTAATACATACATTTCAGTCCTCTTCTAAAACCAACATCTTCTAACAACATATTCCTTTATTTTTTTCCACAAAATCTACATTGAGAGTTATGGTATCATGGCACAAGAAAGACATTTGCCACATTGAGTGCTTTTCAGATCTGAATACCATGTCTATTTCCATTCTTTGTTTCACTAATGCACAGGTATTGTTTCAATATGCTGCCATACATTAATTGACTAGAACACAATTATGCATTATCGATTGATGTGTTTCATAAAGTTGTAACTTGAGAAGTCTTTTCTGTAGTTCATGCTAGCAGGGGGCTATTAGGAAAATTGCTTTTTTTCCAGTGGACTAGTGAGTGAAGTTGATGCTGGTTTGACAACCTAAACCTACAAATTGTTGGCAAATGAGAAAAATAACAGAGAGAACATATAAGTTCCTTTTCTGTGTGTAAATGATTGATCTCCTTGACCCTCTATTTGGTTCTATTATAGTTTTCGATGACCATTTCTGTACTCATGGCTATTCATTTATTTTGTGGCTTTGAAATGTTAAAATGTATAAGATATTTTTATGGCCTTAAGCTTAATTATAAATGATTGATAATATTCACCAATCATGCCAATGAGATTTCATACTCAGCTGTAAACTATTAGCACAATTTGGTCATTATAAATTCAATCTTATTTCACAAACAGTGAACTCTTAAGTCATCGCACAAGTCCTGTGCTTCTTTGAATCTGGCTGCTGTTCTCATCTAAACCATGGCAATGACCTTGTTAATAAGGGAGGAATCAATGGGACAAAAATCAGAGCCAGAGATTGATCTGGCCAATTGTGTGTCCTGGGGTGACCAGACTGAAATCAGTCAGAGGCAAGGTGATATGATCAGAGGTGTCCCCGCTAAACCCAAATCTTATTATCATTCCATGAGATTCATTAGTAGTAGTATTAATAAAAAGTCACACTTTAGCAATGGAGATCACATATTTGTAGAAAGTTATGACTAACATTTGAGTCATTTAAATCCAATTTGTTTCCTCTCTTCTGTAGAATTCCAGGCACTAGAGACTAAATGATATTAATTTTTAAAGAGTGTTTCTAAAGCAGCAAAAGACAATATTTGGTTTTATTATCATTGATTATCACTTGGAGGTTATGTGTATACAACTTTCATATAATCCATCAACAGCTCTTTGTCCAAGTTTATCAGTGAAATGAATGGACCTGATTCTTAACCGTGTCTTAGATTCAATGGGAAGCTTCCAGGCTATCCATATACTCAAGTTTAAAATTTGGACCTTAGTTGCTTGAACAAGTGTTTTTCTTGTCTGTGACTTGGAAAAAGTAGTATTAATGGGACCTAAAAGACCTGTTAATACAACTACAAGTAATGGGCACTACTGGTCATGAAAGATTAAATTTAAAACTTCCTTAGAAAAGAAAACTATTGTATCAGAATAAGGATACATGAGGAATATATACATAAACACCTGTTTCACACACAAAGCTTTCTGTAAAAAAATACAAAAGCAACCAGTGCTGCATATTATGTAAACTCACAAAGTGTACTTTATACACAAACATGAAGCATAAATTAAAAAATAGGACAACAGCAAAACATTTTAAATATAGAATTTGCACATCTTTTTGTTAAATAAAGAATAAATAATTTTATCACACAAATTCACATACCTGTTGCAAAAACAATAAATTACTTTTTTCAGTGCTGCAACTTTTTTGCTTTTGTTTGTTATTAATCCCTTAATTCTTAGTTTAAAGGGATAAAACTGTTTCCACAGGCAGGCAAAGTAAATTGAATTTGTTGACTAAATTAAAGCAATGCCCTTAAATCTCTAAACAACAAGGCAGGGCTTAATTTTACCTCCTCTGTTCTAGAAGAAATACATGTAATTTTCTTCTGGGCTCTCTTTGTGCTTAAGGAAACTTAATCTAGAGCAGTGGTTCTCAACCTTCCTAATGCCGCGACCCCTTAATACAGTTCCTCATGTTGTGGTGACCCCCACTCATAAAATTATTTTTGTTGCTACTCTATAACTGTAATTTTGCTACTGTTCTGAATCGTAATGTAAATATCTTTTTGTTTCCGATGGTCTTAGGCAACCCCTATGAAAAGGTCCTTCAACCCCCAAAGGGGTCGCGACCCACAGGTTGAGAACCGCTGATCTAGAACGTTTAGTTTTGTGAGTGAGATTAGATTCTTACTAACCTGAGCATTTTCAGACAATCTCTTTTTTTTAAAAGTGGGACCTAGCATCATGAACCCTAGACTCCTTATTCAAGATGCAATTATGGAAAGGTGCAAGGAATAGTTCAAAGTCAAACTGGACTGAATTAGATTGTATTATAGAGGATTTTCCCTTTGTTTATCATTCTTTATATCTACCAAACACTCCATTTCTCTAATTTTAATTTCCAGTCTAACTCATTTTTCTCAAGAGTTTAGACATATATTCCTTAGTCAATCTATCAATACTCATACAGGTAAAAAAAAAAAAAAACTAAAGAAAACTCCTTAAAAGCATGGAATAGTGGTTTATTTGTTCTAAACTCTTGAGGATTGTTTCAATGAAAAGTGTAAAACTTCATTATTTGGAGGAACAATGAATCATTGATAAATCATATTTTTTAAAAAATCTATGAATACAGTATAGAGTAGGAGACAATCCTGTTTGCTCTTCAATTATATTTTAATGTTGCCATCAATATACCCACAAAAGATAAAAATAAAGTCTGTCATAATTGAATTACTTGGTTGAAATGATTTTGAAAATTTGAAAAAGTAATGTTGGCCTCTCTATTAATTCTCTCTGCATAGTCAAATGTTAAATGTGATTTCAATTTTGTTTTTTCTGACTCATTTCAATGACTTTATTCCTTGCCCCTGATATCTGGTTGACCTCCATCAATGTAGGTTACCTAAATGTATAGGCCTCATTTGTCTAATTGATAATTTATTAAGAAAAATGACCACATTTAAAGCAAAGTTAGTCTATGAAAACCTGAAGGATGCTTATCAGTTTTGTAAAATAATTATTTGTTTTATCAAATAATTGCTTAAAACACTACTTAAAGCAGTGAGACATCCATTCTCCTGGCCCACTGGAATGAATGTGATATAGGAAGATCAATTACATAATTCTTTTATATTAAAAATATCTTATAATAAAAATAAACTCTCATGAGATTAAGGGAACTCAAACAATGGTCCCCTAACATTCTCATATGCAATTCTTCACAATAGGCACATTTGGTATGATTATTATACAATTTTATAAAAATAAGTGGCTTTCTGATAGTTCACAAAGAAAAAGAAATCCCAATGAAATGAAACAACTTGGATTTTCTGGGGTGGAGGGATACATTTTGCTGCCTTAAAAGCAATTTTTATGCATATGATTATAAAAATTTTCCATGTGTAACTATTCAATCTTACAACCTACCTAGACAGGCTATGGAAATGAAAGCAACAAACCTCAAAAATCACCACATTTCATCACTCAAACACTTACTGGTACAACTAAATGCTTTCCAATTGGGAAAAACCTTAAGTGCTGTATTCGTATACTTGAATTTAAAAGAAATACAAGGAATTATTGCCTATATGATGTGGAAACAGTCTTATTGATATTAACCACTTTTTTTTTCTTTTTTTGCTCTAGCCACATTAATGATAATCACTTCTAGATGTGGCTAACTACCAAGTGATCTTTAATATTCTTATTAAACTAAGTCGACAAGAAGTACAAAACATTATAGGTCTTACAGAACCCTTCAACACAACAAACAAACAAGCGAAAACAACACATTTTAAAGGCTTGCTGGTAAGAGGTATACCAGTATTGAAAGTGTTGAATGTGACTAGAAAACTCTGTGCTGTGTGTATTGCATGTATATTACACATTGTGAGATATCAGATGAGAGCCATAAAAAGGGAAAGCAATTGTGAAAATATAAATGGACAATATGGTGAAGTATGCGTTTTTTTTCTTTGAATTCTAACATGGGGAAACTAATGTTTAGACTCTTGAATACTGATAACATACACACACACACACACACACACACACATGCACGTGCACATGCACGCGCAAACACTACTTCTACTAATGATGCATTAATTTGGCTGGCTGCCTGAAAAAATACAGGCTGTCAAAGGTTTAAGAAGATGGATCTATGTATGTATTGTAATGACTAGACACACTGAGATCCTTTTTCTTTTCAGAATTTCTCAGAAGATGCTTGTTGTCAACATGGTTTTTGACAAATTTTATCTCCGTTGTCTGAAAGTATACTAAACCTTCTTAAAACAGCAGCGAGTTCTTAATTTCCAGTAAAACATCCACAGCTTTTTCTGGAAACTGGAAGAAGCTGAAATAGCTGCAGACCTACTTTGGTCAAATACATTTTTTTATAGAAATATATATGTATATATACACACATATACATATATATATATTTTTTTAATAGAACCAAGTGATATAAAGTGACATACCAAGGGAGAATGTATCTACAAACAGTAAAAATAAGCTACTGTGTAATATGGGTAAAAATGATTACGATGCCTTTGAAGACATTCTGTAAGAGGTAGGTGACAAGGGGGAGACTGTTGTTTTGCCATCTTCAAACGTCGCCTGATTCTACATTCATCAGTGTTTTTTCATTCTGGTAGGCCCACGGGATGTTCACTCACTCCCAAGGTTTTCTATATTCCAAGGTCACCACTGTCACATGAAATAGTGCACATCTTCATTTGGTCATGCAGAGCAGATTCTGCCCATAACTGGACTCCTGTTGACAATGACACTGAAGCATGACTTTCTGTGCTTTAGGTAGACCTCTTGTTCACCACAACCCATCGGTGATGAATCGTCCAGTTGATCTTGGCATCAGACCATAACCACAGGCTAACATTTCTTTAGCAAGCATTGCTTAAATGCAGAAGGCCTCTGAGAGAGAAGACATCCCTTCGCCAACTTCCGGTTTCCATCCTGGCACTGCACGGTCCGGGTATGCCAGCCTGTGTCACAGGTCCTAGAACAGGCGAGCCATGGGCCCGTCACCCACTGTGGCTGTGGCGTGTGCGATCCCACTTTATTGCTAGTGACAGAGTTTCCTTTCTGAGTGGACTTCTTTGGAATGAAAAAACTGTAACGGACATCTAATGCTTTCGTTGGGTCTGTTGCAAGAATCTGCACTATTAGAATTTCCTTCGTGGCTGAGTAGCCCATCCCATGCAAGAAGTCATCCCTGTGGCTCCAACCGCTGTAGTTCATGACTGTTCCATTGATGTCAATGATTGTTTCCGAAGTGGAGATCATGTACTTCCCATTGATAAGATACTCACCGTTTTTCTTCTTCAGGGCTAAGTAGGCAGTAAATCTAGTCTGGTCTTTGGCTTTGAACTGTCGGACTTTTATGTGGGTGGCCCCTTCGGGGATCCTCACAACATCAGTGTAACCTTTACTGGAAGCAGGAATTCCCATAGGGGAGAGAGACCGAGGGAGACAGAGAGAGAGGGAGAGAGAGAGAGAGAGAGAAAAAAAAAAGTAAATACTTAATAAATGGATAAACAAATAGAAATTCTTTAAAAGTCTTACCTTACCTTAACACAAAGTTTTAATGTATTTACAAGATTAGTTTAAAATTGGATTCAAAAATTAATTTTCTTAAAACAAAGTAGGATTGTGGGTACACTATCATTGTATACATGTTTATTATGATGTTCAAAATTAGGATGATGTTAGCACCCTGCCTTTGTTTTAAAATTTTATACTAACTTCTTTAAAGATTTACAAAAACAATACCCATCAAATTCCATGATCTTTACAAAGCTACTTTATGTTCTGGCACAAAATGGGATATACATCAACACAAACTAACAAAAATTTGCCCTCAATTTCACAAAAAGTCTTTACATTAATGTTTCTCAGACTTGTTCGAGTATTAGAATCACTTGGAAATCTTTGAAAAAAGGTTAATCCCCAGGCCCCAGACCAATGAAATCCCCATCTTTCTGGATTGGGCATGGGCTACGTACTACTTCTGGAGCTCCTTGTATTGTTTCCAACATGTAGACTAGTTGAGGAACCACAGACTTAATTGTTTGTTGAACTTGAGACAGAAGAGAGGCTCTGCTTCCATTTCTACTAGAATGCTGGACTATTAACTCAGCAGGACGAAAAATGGAGCATAAAATTCTGGGGAACCACAGCTTACTAATATCATCAAGCAGGGGAAAAAGAATCTTTAATGCCTTAGCAAATTTCCTGAACGCTTAGTATCCGCAAAGCATTATGATAGACTGACTGAGGCTTTATGGTGGGTGACAAATAAGATAGGTCTCTCATGATCCATCATTGACTAAGGAAAATGGCAAAGGCATACATATCTCCAATACCCATATACTTGCGAAAAATACAAAGACGGAAATTCTAATTAAGCAGCAGTGGACTATGCCATGAGAAGGAGTCATCATTTGCTAAAATCTTTGCCTCTATAAGTAAGGACTCCATAGCTTTTACCATCCTAATAGTTATTGAAATAGAAATAAGTACCTTGCTGGTGCAGTTTGACTGATGTGTGTGATATGTAATTGTTTACTTTCAAATTCTTACTCAAGTTTAAAGGTTTGGGGCACCTGATTCATACACGGAAAATACAAGCACTTCCTCTGAGTTGGAGAGGAGGCTCCTCCCCAGGGAAGCCCCTGTCTATTGGGCATCTGATCTGCAGTGACTGCCAGACAAGTGTCAGAGCTTCCCACTGTTTGAAGAGAAAAGATGCAATGCTGATGATGTTGCTTATCTATTCAACTTGATCCATTATTTTTATTTCTGTAATGCACTTGGATTAAACTTCATTGCAGGACTTTTTAGAAAAATATCTAATATCAAACGTACAGCAGCTTCAAACAAAGCCAGGAAGGATGTTGGACATGATACTTTATCTTACATAAAAACATATAAAGTGGGAGTATATTAAACTATTTGAACAAGTTTACTCCAGAGCTAATATAATGGCCATGGTAGGCTTAAAACGCAGGCCTCCTGACACTTGTATATGGCCCCCTATCCTGGCATTCACCAGCCATGTAGAATTGGGTAACTCCTGAACATTCAGAGTCCCCATTTCCTCATAGATAAAACCAAAGCTTAGAGTTGAACATTTCTAAGGTGTCTCACACCTTTGCAATATATAAAAATGCCAACTATAATTGGACTTGCAGGACGTTTGACCTAGATGGTCCAACACAATTAAATGAATAATTATTATATCACTAGAAAGTAGAATTAGCAATGCCTAATCAGTTCTTCAGCCATACCATTTTTATCATATCAAAGATACTTTTTATGTTAACACGGCATGTAATTGGTTTAATAAATCCTTATTGTTAACATGGTTTGCCAATTTCTCTCCCGTTGAAGACAACACAGCACATACATCAAGACCACAGGTGTGCTTGACCGATACCACTCAGTGTAAGGGTGGTGTGGTGCAGAAGACAAACAGCAGACTCCTTAGCTGACTCTGCCACCCTGCTGATAGCATAACATCTTATGCCAGAAATTGGGACTTCATAAACTTACATATTTAAAGTGACAGTATAATCAAGGACCATGAGAAGAAGCAGGAAACAGACCTTACTCTTTATCGAGTAGATTTACACCAGTGAAAACGCAATTGTCTCTACCACAGCAATTAACTTACATTTTGCAACAAGAAACTTTTTTTTTTAAGAAAAATTAGAGCCCAATGAGAAAATGTTTACTGAAAAAAGTAGTTAGGATGCAAACCAGCCATCCTTTCATAAATTATGTCTCAGGAATGGTGGATCTGCAAGGTATTGCTAAAGTGGAACGTCACTGACTTCGTTTCAGTTTTCATACTATAAGACGTTGACGTCGTGGCCACTGCAGTTTACCATCTCTCAGAGGCACCACGAGTTTCCACTCGACGACCAGAACTTCCTTTATCTTCTCTCTTTTTCTTCTCATATTCATAATGTGTTACTATAATAGAACCCTGCTAGCCCTCCTTCCACAGATACCTGATGATGTCACGTGAGTCCTTTATCCATTTTGCAAGCTTCTAAAGCTTTGTTCAATTCATATATGGGGAACTATTCTGTCACATTACCTTTTTTTATTGAAGGTCCCAATAATCTTTGTACAACTGGAGTTGTCTCCTCCACATACTCCACACTTGTCATACTGCAGCTTTGAGCCAATGATGCTATCACAGCCAGTTCGCACACACTTCCCTCGGACGCAGACAGAGTTACTGTATGGCCTACATTCAGTTCCATCAGTCACCTGAATATGAGAAACATAACAGCATAGGAAATACTTGTGCCCAGGTACTTGGTTTCTTAGGCAAAAGAACAAGTTCTGATTTGTGAGTTTTGAGTTTAATTGCAAAAGATAGTACATGGAAAAATAAACAAAGAACCAAAAAACCACAGTTTCCAAGAGCATCTAACTGAGAAATCCTTGATATCATGGCAGAAATAAGGTCTCGGACAAATCTGGGTTACGCACTTTCTCTCTTGAGCTTAATTCTGAAAGTGTTAGGAGACCCAGGATACTCACTTCTGTGTGCATCACACGTTCCCATTTTATAGGCTCGCCTTTTTACACTGATAAAAGCTATCTTTTCACTTAGTGTGTGGACGGCTGAGTAAGAGCAGGCTCAAAAGCAGAGATCTTTCTTTGTTGCATAATTGTTATTATAGCAATAAATTTGAAAATCTAAATCTGACATCCAGAACCTTGTCATGGTTGGAAAGCACTCCCTAGTGTGTCAAACTGTGGGATGCTGACATCAAGACAAACAGATGAGTGTAGGAAAGGGAGCCTGGGGAAGTTAGGGAGAGATGCTTACTGGGAGAGGCTGAATATGTTTGAAGAAAAGAACTAGTGTATATTTATAATGCTAACTATAAAATGGTATGTACATGGAGTATTTGTGGTTTGTGCATGTGAGTGTACATAAAAAACATGTCATATATATATATATATGTATATATATACATATATATATATATATATACACACACACAAATACGCAGACATATTTTGTACTTGTGTGCATACAAAACTCATCATATACGTGTGTGAGTATGTGACTGTGTATGGGTGTGTGTGAATTGAAGTAAGGTACACTTCAATAGGTTAACAGCTCTCCAAATAGTTATATTCCCAGGCGATGCTTTAGTTTTCATTTCTCTATAATACTTAAAATGAAAATGTATTATTTTGCAGTAAAAAACAAAACATTTTCAAAATTACATTAGTTAGACATTAACTTATTTTCCAATAATGTCATAAATATCTGAAAGCCAGTTACAAAGTTGGTTTTAAATGTAGCCCCTGTTTGCAAATTAGATAAACAGTGTTTTAAATTGTTGCATAACATTGATTGTGAAAAATAAAGCTGCAATTTTTAAAAAACGTTCCATGAAAAATAAGGGATAATTTCACACATGTATAATGTATACAGCTCGAGGGGCACTGATTCATATTAAGGGTACAAGACATCACCATGCTAAACTATCTTCCAAAATGCTGTTTAAAGGCTATACAGTTTTCAAATGTATGATGTGCCATGATTTATTAAGCTAACCATTTATTGTTAGACACCTAGGTTGTTTTTGGTTCTTTTGCTCTTATCATCAATACGGCTAAATGAATATTTGCAACCCCCCACACCCGTCAAAAAAGTCCTGGTCAGCCATGACAGTTTTAAAATCTATCTTCATGGGTCATCAAAGGAGTTCTTCAATAAATGATAGAAAAATAGAAAGCTTTTGGCTTTATGGTCCCCTTTACAAACATGCCCAGGGAATACTAGCTGTTTTCATGGCTATTTTGAAGTTAAGGTCACATCTCACCTTCCTTGACAGAGAGTTGAACTTTTAAAAAATAGCTTTTAAAACAGTTCTGTTTGCAAAATAATTTTTATTCATTATATAAAGTTTGAAACTATAGAAATGATAGAGATGAAAATAAAACCCTTCCAAGTCTAGCCACCCCCAAATAACGGCTGTTTGCATTTGGTATCTGCAGGCTTCATGCTACCAAATACTTTCCACCGAGGATGCCTACTGTTTCAGGACAGTCAGCATACACTTACCTTTGGAGAAAACACCACATAGTAGCCAGTGCCCTTAGCTCTGCAGGTCAGTTTGCACACGTCCCCTGGCAGGACGCCGGCGTATTTGGGAACCCATTCCACAAATGTTTTGACTCCTTTTGCATCAGACTGATATCCATTTTTGGCCTCACATTGCTCATGACGAAAAGATTTACCTAAAAAACAAAATGTCACATTATTACTCTACTGTTCTGAACTTACATACATTCTTGTGCTTTTAAATAATTAAGGAGAAGATGCTAACTTTTTTCAGAGCCTCTTTAAACACTAGTGTTGAAGGTTTTTTATCTATATACAGAGTTGAAAACAACAATTATTTTCTTCCTAGTCCCTGAATACTCAATTGTTTGTAATAATAATTTTAAATCACTCATGCATTTGTTGTTGATTTGCACACTGGTGGAACTGTGCAGCATAAGATTAATAGGCTATTTCTCCAACCTCCTCTATTTATTACTGCTAGAATACAAGCCACATGACACATGATGGTTGCTGACACCTGGGAGCAGCGTACCATTAGGCGGGCAGGGCATAACACTGCAGGAACGGTAGATGGCCCTCTTTCCTGTGCAGTAGCGGCCACTGTTTCTGGGCGCTGGGTTATTGCAGTGGCGATAGGCAAACTGTACTCCTCCCCCACATGAGCGAGAACACTGGCCCCAGGACCCCCAGGACCCCCAGTTGCCATGGCTTGATGTCTGAAATAGAAAATAGAAGATATTTTAACTCAGAGGAAGGAAAACATTCAAAATTTACATTTGGAAATCGCTTGCATTCAATGACTGGAAACGTCATCACAGATGGCGTTAAATTTCCAATGAATTTTATGTGGTCATAGGTATTGAATATTCTAGAATTATGTTTCCCATTCTAAGCAATTCATATTTTCTGCTTTCCCCCCCTCCACCCCTCACTCCTGCACTGCAGGCATTGGGTTCTTCACCCAAAGTACTCAGCGCGCTGCAAGGATCACCTCCTCATTCCTCTGGACGATTTTAAATTATGCCTTCTGACATTATACATTTCTGTGAATAACCACTGAACCATGGTTAACGTTTTGTCCACTCTGATCATGCATCTTTACCAAAATGCACGATGCTAAAGGTTTTGCATGCCACCGGGCATTAGTGGATTGTGCTTATATCATTTCTCCCTCTTTAGCACTAAAGTTCTGCAGTGCCTTTGTTAACTTCACACAACTTCTCTGTGACAGACTTTCAACCTATGTGACCTGAGTTTGACTTAATTCCTAATGAGATTAGAGTCTCCCCTCCCCCCACCCCTGAAAGGAGATGTGACAGATATTGAACTGCACCCACACCACATACACACGACAGGAATTGAGGGACCCTGCTATGACACCCCAGGTCTATTACTCTGGAGACACTGCAGTAGGAAGCTGAGACACTCCAAAAGGAAGATTATTATAAACCGCTTTGCAGGGGGAAAGCGTGAAGAGCGTCCCCTGACTGCCTGTGTCAGGTGACCTGAGAAGGCTGGGCTGTGGGATAGCCTTGGAAGACACAGGTGATAGGCATATGTCCATGTTCTTCTAACAATGTTTAAAATCTTGTGAGCGTGAACAGAGGCCTTGCTTGGGCCTTAATAATTGAGGTGGCAGCTGCTGACCCGAAAGTGGACTCTAGGGGAAGGGTGGAGGTTTTTCCTTGGAGCAAGCATAGGTTCCTTTAGCTCCTACAGTTACTGAACTCGCTGTGGGGGAGAAAACAGGCCCATTTTGGAGCGCATCACGTATGTAGGAAGACCACATGTCAGTTCTACCGCTATTTCCTTTCTGTATTTAAATATCTCTATTCTGATAACTTTAGTAAGAGATATGAAAGTAAAGTTCCAAATGGTGGGACCTCCTTGGAGTCTGGAGTAGCTAGACTCTGGGCTATACATGCTTATTTGTTATCGGACAGGACTGGGAGGAGTACCTATGACCCGCGTTTTCTCCAGTTTATGATGACTGCAAATGGCTCCTGTGGTTAAAGGAGGAAGCAGTAAAATGATCTCTCAAGAAAAAATAGCTTAACTAAGAAATAAAGCCTTCCGGCGACAGTCCCCACACATGTGAGAGGAGTGGGCTCCAGGCATTGCGTGACCCGAAAATCACTTACTGAATAATATTTTTTCTTGGTTTTGTCCACACACTTGCCCTGCAGGCAAATCCTGCCTTTCCCACATGGTGTGCCCTCCACGGCTGGCAGCTTCTTGGTCAGACACACCATCTGGCCCTGGCGCACCACCGCGCACCACAGCCGGGCGCAGACGTCCATGCCGGGGCACACCGAGTACTCGGGCCCGAAGGTCAGGTTGCACTGCTGAGTGGCATCGTAGGTCTGTCCTGGGAGTTCTTCAGGGCCCAGGATCTGCTTGCGAGGGAGGTCTAGCAAACAGTTACCTAAAAAAGGAACCAAGGTTGATTGCTGGTCCGTGTTTACGTTGCAACGCACTAAAACTATGGATCTAAAAATGAAACGCTCCAGCTGGTGTTGAAGCATGAAGCCCCAGATCAGTGCTGTGTTGCCCTGGAGAAGGGACTCTGGGGGGGACGGGGCTGGGTGCCTCCTCGTGCTCACCAACACCTTCCAGGATTTCCAGTGGGTGATGTGCTCTGGGGTATCCACAGTGATGGCAGTGGTATGAGTAAATAAAAGTATTTTGTAATGGTTAGTTGTGAAAACAACCATTGTGCTGAAGGACTAAAAGAAATTGGGATAGACCTAGCGGAAATAAGATAATGGATCTAAAGCAACAACAATAAATAAATGAGAAACAGAGTTGGAACTCCTGTACACCCCATTCTCCACTTCCAACTTACCTCTTCCTCATGTGCCCATCCAGGTCTCCTTTCCATTAATTCCACAAATAATAAACAAGGTGAAACCTCATTAATTCATTCACTCACTCAAAACAATGATAGTTGGTATTAGGCTCAACGTATCTGGTTAGTAACTACAACATTCTAGCGGACGTGGGGAAAACAAAAAAATGAGTCTGATCCACTCCTCACGGTCTCCCAATAAAGTGAAGGCAATACACTAAATAAGTTGCTTTTCTCAGGCTGATAGGAATTTTAATAATGACTTTTCAAGAGTCACAGACTAAAGGAGCAGTGGGAGAAGAAAATTAATCGTTGATAATTTGGGTCGCGGCCCATCTTTTTAATCTTCTCCTTTTTCTACACTTTGCATCAGTTACTTCATGCAATTAGTATTTGCTGGGTGTCTGGAGTGTGTCGCCACCAATAAGTTGGTGCTTTCGTTGCAGAGTAATAGGGGGGTATATAGTGAGGTGGGATCCACAGCAGCCGGCACACGCACTGATGATACAAATTCAGAAGTGGAAACGTGTGTCACCTCCCTGCAAAAAGCTCCCCTAAGAGCCCCTGATCAGTGAGTGAATACCATTAATTTTCTCCCATCTGTTTCTGTATTTTTTACTTGACTTTAGGATTTACCTACTGATTATGAATAGAATTAAAAATCCAAACATTTGTTACATGCTTACACTATTCTCAGTTCTTTAAATGTACTAACGTGTTTAACCCTCACAAGAACTCTACAAAGCAGATTCTATTGTTTTCTTTATTTTACAGGTAAGGAAATGGAGAAACATAAAGATAGGTCACGTAGCTATTAGGGTTTCATGCTCAGAGGTTAGCCTCCTCATCTTAGACCATCTTGTCTCTGCTTACCATGTGGATAGAGTTCTTGTTTTATTGCTGAAGGGCAAGTGTGTGTAGGGATCTTTTAAATGGTAGATATCATGTCTAATGGTAGAAACATGCAGTCTAAAGTTTAACTCTGGCAAAACACTAAATGGTTGAGTGTTCTTGGCCAAGGTAGTTAACTTCTCCCTAATTTATTTTCAAGCTCTGAAATGTTTTTCTTCTCATTGTGACATTGTAAGGGTAAAATTAGCTAACAAAGATGTAAGGGGCGACCAGGAAAATCCAAAACAATGACAGTTGCTACTATGCCCAACATATGTAACAACCATTTAGATGTATTTGAGCTATTCTTTGATTCAACAAAACAAAATAATATTTAAATCCTACTTTCCACTGAGAAACTAAATATTCAGCACATTTTAAATATACTGCAAATGTTTTTATAACTACAACATTCAAGTTTCTTCAAAGTGAATATCTTAGAATTTGTCAATCTGTGATGGAGGCATTATATGAAAATGAATAAAGAGTAAAGTTCCTATTTAACTTCTGAGCCAGAACGTTTGAAGAGGTAAAGCTTCTTAAGGCAAGCCAGGAAAAGCATTAAAAGTAAGTATCCAGCCAAAGAGAACTTTGGGAGAAAAACATCAAGTTAAAAGAAAAACATCAACATCAAGTCGATAGGAAAGAATGATAGTAAAACCTCACACTAAGCTTTGTTTAGAAAACAGAGTAAGATTAGGCTCTTCAGAACTCTATGGAAAGAGTTATCTTATTTGCTACATAAAAAAGGGGGGGGGTAAAAAAAAAAGCATTGTGTAAACCAGGGAACACTCATCAGGCTGCTCGTGTTAGAAGACTGTCAACAGTTCTCTGAGACAGCAAGAAGCTTTCCAATTCTTCAAAAGTGCTGTTTTAAGAAACTTTTTAAAATTTTACTGAAAAGCACAGACCATAAGACTGAGGGATGAAATATTAGCTGGAAGGTCTTTACATGTGTGGGTGCATGTGAAATAGGTCTACCTGGTTTGTCTCCAGCCAAAATAAGTCACCACCTCTCTATGGACGCAAAGCCACCGACACCCTGCTTCACTACTACATGATGAGCAAAAAGAAACGTATAATACAAATAATTTCAAATCAGCTTCGAAAAGGAGACTTCAATAGGTGGAATATCTTTACAAAGCTTAATGCCAAGGCACAACGGTTTTTGTTGTTGTTGTTGTTTAAATAATACATTTGCTTTGTTATTAAAAATACAGTATCTCAGCTATATGGTTTTCCCTTAGAGGTCACCTGGAGATGACCTTTCCTTGCTTAAAATAAAATGATTTATTTCAGAATTGCCATTAATGTATTATTCCAGTGCTCTCAAGGATTTGTTGCTGTATGAGTTTCTTTCTACCATAAAATATTCAGTCTATTGATTTCATCTGTATGTTGAATTATGTCCTTTTGCTGTAAAATAGATACAGACATCTCTACCAAATGTAGTCTTCTGCCACAGAACAACAATTAAAAAAATCAATAAAGAACCTCATTTTGAATCTTGCAGTATAAAACATTTAAAATCTAAGTAATGGTGGATTGGATATAGATTTTCCATTTAAAAAATACATATATTTGTGGGGAGGGGTGAGAGAGGAAATTGATCAATCTTTTAGTGTCATTTATATTGAACTCTAAAAGCATCTGGTCTACTTCTAACTTTTCTTAATCTGTTTTACTTTTATTATCAACCATTTCTTCATATCAACTTCACATGGTTTTTTTAATTCACCCTAGTCTGAAATCCTATCTGAGACATGCTGCCAACATTTTGTCTGTTTGTTCTGTTCCATCAACTGCCAAGTTGCAGTTTTCTTTCACTCTTTCTTTTCTCTCTCCCTCCTTTCCTTCCTTCCTTCCTTCCTTCCTTCCTTCCTTCCTTCCTTCCTTCCTTCCTTCCTTTTGGTGCATATAATTGCATGGTTTCTAAATGAAAGACATGTGTGTATGCTGCACGTTTGTTTTACTATCCATATTAAGTTAAGTGGTACAAGTAAGGTGAACAATTAAAAAGTAAGACTCAGTGATTTGGGATGGATGAATAAAGGAAAGGGTGGCTGTTCCGTTGACACAAGGTATACTAAGGGTGATGGAAAGCATGCCCTGTGTCTAGGAAACGGAACCAAAAGGTCTTTGGTTATTTATGTCTGACTACCAGCACTGTTTGCCTTTCATATTAATGATTAATAAAATTATCACATTGAGGTTGGCTTGTTCTTTTCATTTCCCCCCCCTATTTCCAGCACTGTAGTTATGTATTTCTATCTTCTCTTCCTTTTTAGTACAGGTAGAAAATCGAGTGTTGGCCCAAATATCCATGGCCTAGGAGAAAGCAGTTAATATTTCTCATGAAACTCATTCAAAGGGGCCTAACAACACTGCAAACTCTCCCCTTTTGCTTCCTATCACCATCTCTCTCACCCTGCACCTCTTACGTTCGTCTTTATTTGAATGTCTAACATGAAAAGAGAACTTGATGATGCTAGATATGGAGGGCAAACCAATGGTTGCCAGGTGGGAGGGGGGCTTGAGGGGTTGGATGAAAAAGGTGAAGGGATTAAGACGCACAAATTGGCAGTTACAAAATAGTCATGGGGATGTGGGGATATTGCCAATAATATTGTAATAACTGTGCATGGTGCCAGGTGGATACTAGACTTACTGGGAGGGGTCACTTCATAAATTATAGAAATGTCTAACCACTATGCTGTACACTTGAATCTAATATAAATAATATTGAATGTCACCTGAAACCATTATAACATTGAATGTCAACTATAATTAAAAATTAAAATTAACAAAAAAAAGAGAGAGGAACTGACGCATTATGGACTTAGTGACAAATAAACTAATGAGGTCACTGATGAAGGCACAGACAATCGTTTCCGACTAAAAGTAATTTAAGGGGTTTGTTTGTGAAACTGAGAAGCATTCGATCCACTATTTAGTGGATGTAGTGCCAAGGGGATTAAATTAAAAATTCTCCTTGTTGAAGGATGAAACATAGCCTTTTAAACATATAGGTTACCATGGACTTAAAAATATGTCTTATTTGCAGGCTCTATTAAATAACCTGTCTAAGTGAAAATCAAGATATACAAGAATGAGCTTCAAATTTGATGAGGACTATCTTAAAAACTGAATGTTAACTCTTGGAGACTTAGTGGGGTGATCACACTGTAAGGTATATATTTATCAAATCATTATATGATACACCTGAAACTAGCATAAGCATACCAAGTATACTTAAATTAAAAAAGAACCTTAAAAATTAAATAAATCAATAACAGGCTATAACTATAGATGCACTAGATATTAAAAATATAATCAGGATGTTATGAACAACTTAATGCCCATAAATGTTTATCTAGATTAAAAAATAAAAAAGTCTGAATGTTCAGCTCCCATGACCAGCTTCATAATCTACACTTACAAGGGATTCAGGGAATTGACTTTCTAATACAATTTTATCTCCCAAGTTCTGGGTTCAGTAAGTGGTTGTAAACTCAGATCTTGAAATATACTACATTTAAATTTTTCAGAGCTGTGTATAGATTTTCCTGAGCAGGCTGTGTCGTGGGTATTCTTGAGTTGTATCTACTTAGGTGGTGGCCTTTCTCATCCCCTGGCACTGTCAACTTAGGGATACCGCAGACACAGCTATCGTTTTTGGCCACACGGTTATTAAGCATTTGAGACAAGAAATTCAATAGCCTGCTTTCACTGCACCATTTTTCTGCCAGTGCTTACCTTTATTTTGGAGGATCATACTCCTAGCCAGCTTGCCTAGAGCTAATTTGTGTAAACACTGCAGAATGTCTTCAAGTATCTTGGCCAGGCTGGCAGGGGCTGGGGGGGTCCCCAGGAGACATGGCTTCTCCTTTTCTGAATCACAAATCTGCAGGCACAGTTATTTTAGAGAGTGCACACTGACTTTTCAAGCCATAACCTAATTGCTCCATATTTCTTGTTGGAACTAAATCAGGAAACACTCAGTATTAATGGATTTAAATTTGGCACTGCTTGAGTGCTGCAAATGTCCGGCTACTTATGGCTAATAATTTCAAAAACAAATCAAATGATTGGAATTTAATTGTACGCTGAGACCTCATTTCTTCAGCATTGCTGGAGGTGGGAAGCAGATAGATGAGCTACTATCCATAAATAGATTTTTTCCAGATAATGAATTCTTTAGGTACCATCTAAAAATTGTATAAATTTTGTGAGAGTGTCTACTTAAAAAATAGCACTTGCTTTGTTGCCTTTATATTAGTGTCACAATTTAATCTTCCTAAATGAAGGAAAATGACTTTTTTGGGAGTGTTGGTTTTTGTATCATGCTGAAATATAGAGGTACCTTCACTGATCATGCTGGTGTGATGCGGTTTTTTACCTTTTAGAAAATGGTGCCGGACCTCTGAGCTTTGAATGTTTTAGGGCTACATCTTACCGTTTTTCTGGTTTCTCTCTATTTGTCAAATGATATCATTTCTTGCTCCCAGTTCACCTGTCTAATGAAGGGCACCCCCTCCATGACTATATTATTGCTTGAAATTGTTCATGGCCTAGAAAAATTAGAAGAGAAAGATAGTAGAACTGTTTCTACTAAATATGAATAAATGGGCTATGAATGAGAGCCTGCATGGCTCCCAATGAGTAAAGTGGAAGGTTTTTATGATATGGTTTCATGATATCAGTTTCGTTTTCTAACAAAAATGTATTTTTTGTTTGTTTGTTTTTCCTCTGTCTTGGGCTTTGACTTTCTTGGTTCTCTCTTACGCTCTGAAGAGGAAATGTCAGAACCTCAACCATCTCAAAATCACTAAACTGACTTCATCAGTTTTTCTGAGTGCAATTTAGAAGTTATTAAATTATTTGAATTCACATTTAAGTGACAGTGCTACAGAGAGCACCGCTGTTTCCGCTGCTCTAATTCTGTACCTGTGCATGCTATTTTGAAATGAACACACTTTGCCATTGTATCATAGGGCCTTTCTTTGGTTCTCCTTATTCTGAAATGATTTTATTCATTATAGGCTAAAATCAAACTATTTTCTTTTGGTTAAAACACAAAACTGCCTATCCAACATATTCAAAAGTGAAAAAGTCTAAGTTTGATGAAATGAATTTATTAATAAACTATGAAAATTAGCTGTCCAAAGAACTGTGCTAATTGAATTTATTTATTTAATATTATATAGAAATGGGAAATTCAGATAAGATTTTATCAGTGCACGTGAATAAGATCTATTTCTATTAGAAGTATGTTCTTGGGATTGTTGCCAGTGGGGAGGGGGATTGGGGGAAAGAGTGAAAAGGGGAAGGGATTAAGATATGCAAATTGGCAGTTATTAAAACAGTCATGGGGATGTAAAGTACAGCATAGAGACTATAGTCAACAATATTGTAATAACTATGTATGGTGTCAGATGGTTACTAGACTTATCGGACGGTCTTGTCGTAAGTTACATAAATGTCTAATCACTTTGTTGTACAGCACAAACCAATATAACATTGTATGTCAAGTGCAATTGTAAAAAAATTTTAAAGCATGGTCTTCGTTGCTATCTACCATGAGGTCCTTTGGAATAGACAGATTTATACAATATATGAATAGGTTGCAAAACATTTTTAAAACTGAGCAGGGACTCTTTTAAATACAGAAATAATGTTAAGAAATGAAGACAATACTCAAAGAATATTTACTGCTCAGAAAGTAAGATCATGAATTCCATCAACATGAAATAAATGAAATCATTCTAAAATTATGGCACTAAGAAATAAAATTCTGCACAGCATTGTAATTAACTGACCTAATACTAGCACAGGAAAAAAAAATTGGTCCCACTTTAGCCATAAGTATTTGCTGCCTTAGCAACTAAATCCATTCATTTAGTGATTCAGTTTAGCTCAACCTTTTGGAATGTGTAACGTGTGATGCTGAAATAAAATATTAATGTGATTTCATTTTCAGAAAACCTGAGCAAAAACCCCCCCAAAAAACAGCAAAAGTAATATTGTAGAGATTCCACCCAAGAGGGACTTTATTAGATATTGACTTGACCAATGTAGGCAGGCAACTGATGAAGTAAATATTCATGTGGGGACGTGGTCAGCATTAAACCAACATTGTAAATTAAGCAAAATAGAAAAGTACTATTTTATTGTTAGTCTCAAGGAAAAACCTAATGTATTGATTCTTAGTATTATTTCTAAGTCTTTGAGATATTGGGATGCCCTCTCAATTAATGAAGAACATGTATTTTGTATTGAGGGAAATTTTAAACCAAACTAGGTATAGATTATTTTTAGGAATAGGAAATTTTAAAAGTCCCAATTAAATATCGCATTACCACTAACAGACCAAAAAATAAAATGTGTTAATGAACAGATTTTGCCTACAAGATCCCCAAAAGCTATGCAGCAGAATTTCTTTTTTGTGTGAAATGAATTGAACTTTTCAATTGTTTTAATATTATGTAGCCAAAATTCAAGATGGGCAGTTCACTAAGAAATTACAAAAATATCAAGCCATAAACTTTGTGGAACTAAGAAAAAACAGTTATCACAGATTCTCTTGATCCAACTTTGAACCATATCATGAGATCAATTTATAGACAATTACTATGATCAAGAATTTCTGTCATATTCAATTCAACCAAATTTTAGGAGAAAGAAAAACAAAAAATGAGAATATGGCCATTTCTGTAATGTGAGACACGGACTAAGTGGTTTCTGAAGTTCTCTTCCAAGTCTAATGAGTCTATTCTCCCGTGTTTCTAGTATTTTTAAGTAATGAGAAATGCGAGGAAATTTGCAACTGCTTGTCTCAAAGATTACTACTTAAGGGTCAGAATTTATTATTTCTAAAAACTGTGACTCCTTTATTATTTTTATATAATTCACAGCACTCATCCTAGATTTATAGAGTTTGATAAAGTATGCTGTGCTCTTGAACTGTATCTAAATGAGAAAGCCAAAGATTTTCTTTTGAAGTTCTTAAAGTGTTTGCTCATCATTCTGATTGATTTTCTATTTCTGTTCTGCAATTTTCCTCCACTTTCAGGAGAATCTGCTGTCAGGATGAATTCTTCCTATGAATGCAAATCTAAAGAGCTTCCTTCCTTGGCTTTATGTTGCCATAAAGAGAATCTGACAGAATTGTCACCTACATCTTAACCACACCCCTATAATAGGCATGTAACAAATAATTCTGAGAGTCATATTAATAGCAGGGAAACAAGATGTCTGCCAGCATTCTCACAGGAAGCTGGTGGTGAAAGAGGGAATAAAAGCCAAGCTTTCAGGGCACTAGCTAGGCATTCTGTGTGGTCTCCCACACTGCTTCTCTTTTGAACTTTTCAATTCAAAAGCAAAAATACTGTAGCTATAATGCCACCAAGGACGTCGGCATTACACAATAACAGAAAGTCCTCTTGCTCCTTTTTTTTTTTTTCACACTATCTAAACAACCATTGTCTTAGAGGTCAAGGTGAATGTCATGAGGATATAATGAAATCAAACTTGTAATAATTCCAAAGTTTCTTTCTGAGCCCATGTTGTCCTTAATAGTACATACCGTGGCCATCATCCAGGAATTCTGTGATGGTGGCTGAAGCGCATTTGGACCAGGGCTTGGAAGCATCAATGCTGGTCAGGATGGAAGACATTAAACGCTTATCTTCTGTGGAACCGAAATTCTCTTCACAGAATTTGGAATCGTCGTGAGAGAGGCCAAGTAGATGTCCTAAGGGAGAGGATATAGGAAGTGCAAATAATGAGTGGTTTTGCATTTCTACTTTTCTGTGACAATTCTACTAGCACTTTTTTTTTCCCTTCAATTGTATATGAGTTCATTTTAACTGTCTTCTCATGCAGAAACTAGATCCCCAGGGAAATTAAAGCTGCATGTGGTTAGAAGTGGGCCTTTTGGTGAACATTTTGAGAAAATCTGAAAAGTTACACTAAGAAGTGGATGTTCCCATAATCCATCTGGATCACATATGCTCAATGATATGTAGAAACAAGGCCTTATTTAGAATCTAGAATTTGCAAAGCAACTATAGGATTATGTCATAGCTCTCACTACATATTCTTGCAATTACTTGTCTAATTTTCCACCTTATCAAACATAATCCCCATGAGATCAGAGAACATTTCTCCCCATTGACAGTTGAAAGTTCTATGTTTAACTCAATGTTCTGCAAGTTGCAAATACTTAGTAGATGACTTCTATTTTCTTGGCCAAGTAGATAGGTAGTTATATAAGGGATGACTGGGGGGATGAGATGGGAAACAAAGAGGGGTCAAGTTAGTAACTTTCTGGTTCCATGCAAATGGAAGCTTGTTTCTCCCTTTCATTTCTTTTTGTTATTTAGTAAGTTGTGAATGTTACTAGTCTTACAAATAAGTGGCAGCCTTTAAAAATATACCCATTTCCATTTTTAAAAATGTCTAAAATACCAAGATGCCCATTATGGAGTGTTAGAGCTTGAAGAGAAAACAAACACTAGGAAGGTAAGTGAGTGTCCAAAACCACTCAGCTAGGTGGTGTTATGCCCCAACCACGTTCTCTGCAATCCCAGCCACTGCCATTTGCATTCTACAATGTAGATATTATATCCCAGTGTACAGAGCAACATGCTTCTAAATAGACTAAATTGTTTTGATTACATAAGATTAATTTTCACATAGTCTACAAAAAAAATGACATTTCCCAACAAGTCTATATTTTTTTTAATAGCTGAGCCATCCTGCTACCTGTTGGCAGCTCAGCAGCTACTCAGCTCGGGTCGGGACTCGAACTGCTGTTGCTCAGAGCTCAAACTCTTGAGCGAGTTCTTAACCAACTGAGCCACTCGGCTGGCTCTCCAACAAGTCTAAAATGCTGTTAAAAATAATTCTAGGGTAGCAGTGTGTAGAAACTCCAAAAGGTAGGCAACAACAAGTACTTCTAGTAGGTTTTTGGTGGTTGTTTTTTGTTTTTTTGTTTTTTTGGAAAACTTTATAGATGCATATACAAACCACGATGAAAGAATGTAGAAAATTCTATAGAAAAGCGATCACTGCATTCTCTAAGGGTTTCTGGGGGCCAAAGGCAGGGACTTTGGCTATTCTGTCAAAAAAGTCCACTGTGCACTAGTAAAACCCAACGGAGATGAAATCGTTCGCACTGTACTCCAACTGCTTTTGGCCAACTTGTTAAATCACCAACACCTCATAACAAAATGGCGCGTTGAGCAGCTGGTTGCTGTTGTGGCTGAAATGAGGTGGCTAGGGCTTGGTGACCTTCAGAGGCTCCACGTTTTATGCTGCTTAGATAGTTACTTCCTTCAATAGCATTTACTAGGCTAGCAAGTTTTCTTTGGGAAAGCCTCCCACCACCACTCACATTTTATTTGGTCAGTAGCATAAATGTGCATCACAGTCTGTAAAGTATGTCCCAAATTACATGCAAAAGAAGATTGGCAGGGCTTCACCCAGTTTTGGAGTGGTATGTTGAGTTTTTCAGGGAACCACAGCTCACAGAAAAACAGAGCCCTTCATTCATGTCCTGTTCAAAATGGCTTAAAGTTACTTAGTACATCAAACACGTATTGAGAACGCACTCTGGGCTTCTTGAACTTTTCAAAGGTAGAATCTTTATCAGCTGATATTGGAATTTGTGTGGAAATTTCTTCACACTTGAGTTTTTTCCCACTGGCATAGAAGAGAGAGAGGGAAAGTGGCCTAAGGTGACCTCTGAAGCATCATATTTATTTGATTTCAGGTTTTATATTTTTAAAAATGTAATTTTGGCATTCTACTTCATAAGATATTCATATTTATTTAATGGACGAATAGTCTTTTTCCACCAAATCTATATAAATAAATAGCAATTTTCATATGCATTTTTATTACTGCATTAAAGAATCATCACTTTATTTGGAGGGTAGATTTTAGATATCTGATTTAAAATCCAGGTCATGGGGCTGACCGCATGGCTCAGTTGGTTAAGAGCTCGTTCAAGAGTGCAAGCTCTGAGTAACGGGGTTGCCGGTTCGATTCCCGGCCCCAGCTGAGCTGCTGCTGAGCTGCCAACAGGTGGTGGGATGGCTCAGCTAAAAAAATAAAAAATAAATAAAAAGAATAAAATTCAGGTCATGTGGCAAACACCAAATTCACTTGGAGGGGCCCAAGAGAGTACCTCAATTTTTCTTTCATACAGCATAGTATGGCATATAGTTTTAAAGATTTCAATTACATAAGCAAAGCAGTTTATTTACAAATAGTTTGGTATAATTTTATGAAGTTTTTGGCATGCTCTTTGGCATAATATTGTGAATTTTATGCTCCCTACACTTACTGATGTATTAGTGTCACTTAATTTCTGCTGAAGATGCACATAAGACATTCTTATGTGGCCGTCAGAAAAGATTGCCATTCTGAGCATAAACAGATCTTAGTTCCAATTCAGCAAGAGCTAAAAGGAGCTGTGAATTTTGTAAGATTTCCAAGAGTCCATCAGGCGTGGACTGCTTGAGGGCCCCCTGAGAGAGACAGACTCTTTGGAGGGCTGGTGAATGTTCTGTCCTCCATGAAAAAAGTCTGTCAGCTCTGGCATGCTCTCGTAAGGGCAGTGAGGGTCATGGGCAATGTGCAAAACATTTAGGCACCCAAAGAAACAGGCAGCCAGTTCCACAGAAGCTGGAACGAGGGCACAGAGAGAGAGAGAGAGAACCATGTGACTTCCCTGCAGGCTAGACAGGAATTGAAATGGAAGATGAATGTGAGGGATGCTTGGATGCTCTTCAGGAAAGACGTGACACTCATAGTAAAGGCCCTGGGAAGAAAAAGAAGTGGTATTTGCAAGTGTGATTTCCTAATCATTATGCTAAGGTATCTAATGTCGTCTGAAATTCACCATTATCTTTGAGCCCTGAAATGACAATGTATGTATAAAAGCACATGCTCTTTTAAAGGGACACTCGTAGTAAGGACAACACACTAGCACATTAAGAGCTGATTAACAGAGAAAAGGCCAGAATCTAGGACATTTAAAATGTTATGTCCCAGCTGACAACAATATATTTCATGTTGTGAAAGCAATCAGAGTTTATCATTGTGTCATGAATCACCTAGGACATCCACCTTTTCCAGTGACAGTTTGTTTGTAAGTCACCCACAGAGATCCTTAAAATTACAGGTGTGGAGTAAGTGACACACAAGGCAGAGGTGGGTTTGGTTTGACAATTCACTGTCAGGATTTCAAAGTAGAGGTCCCCAAGTCTTGGTTTAAGGAAGAATTAGTATTTGTATTTGCAACCACTTATAATCAGTAGACATGCAGAAGACTGAAGAACAGTTTGTTTGCTTTAACTAAGTTAAGCAATCTTATTTACATTCATTACTCTCTTAGTGAATCTTTAGTTCTTGATTGATGTAATTGGAAATGTCTCCTCTAAAATCCCCAGTCAATTAGTGACCAAATACACTTGTGTAGTGGATGTGCTTGTTAATGGCATTTGTATTTATATACTAAAAAAGAGAAGTCAGAGTGAAATTTAGAAAACAATACAACTGTCTAATCTAGTATTTTCCCACATGATATGGACCTCAGAACTGTCTCTTGCTATTCAAAGCCACTAGTAAAAATCAAGGTGTAAATTGTAAGTGCTTTTGTAGAAATTACTGATTTCTTCTTAATAGATGTTAAATCACATCCTAAATACAACAGTCATGCTAATGAGTGCCCATCACACAAAGCAGCATGAGGAAGAAGTTTATTTCAATTAGGCTGAGGAAATGAATTTCATGATAAATTACATCAGAGCAAAGTCTATAGGGTAGGAGTCCTAGTTATATTTTTAGTTCAGAAATAACCAACAGTCACCTGATAATTTTTCTAGTATGATCATTGTCTTTTTAAATTGGCAAATGGGTGTCATTTTATTAAATAAATCTTACCTTTAATAGTCACAATATATTAGGTTGTCGGAAAAGTCATGATGTATTTTTTCTATGTTTTTTGTTGCAAAAATGTGTCATGACTTTTCCGACAACCCAATAGATTTCAAAATCATCTTGCCTCCCTAAATTCACAAGTGAATCTGGTGTTAGGAAATCGGAGATAATGTACACCCAGGTGAAGACACATTACTTTAAAGGAAAATGTTGGTTCAGCTTCTTCTTCAACTCAGGTATTACTGTACAACCAGGGTTGACTTACAACATTAACCTCAGGAAGGAAATTGGTTGTTTTCCTAAACTTTCGTCTGCAAATTAAATGGAATTTCAAGCTCTTGTCTCCTGGCCCCATAACTGACCAATGGACAAGGAGGCACAACACCACATCCTAAAAAATAATGTCACAAGAAGCTCTGTCATGCGTTTACTTAAGAAAGCACTGCTCAGATGAAGCATTGGTTTCGTAGTGAGGTCATGTTTTTATTTTGCCTAATTTTCCAGCTGGGATTATTGAGGTGCAAGAAAGTCTTGCGGGGGGGTTGAAAAAGTGAGTCAGTAGCTCACCTGGGATCAGAATCTAGAATCCTTGAGGAAGGGAACCAGGAGCTGCAATAACTGGATCACACCTGTCTATTCAAATGCAAATTCTTATGCAAAAGTGATAAAACTCTTAAACTTCCATTTCAAACCATTAAAGACCAATGGCAAATGTTGTATCAATTATGTGATTTGGCAGGAAGGAAACTAAACTTTTTTTCACCTGATAACTAGCTGTGTCAATATCCTTTGGAATCAAATTCA